GGTAGTGGAAGAGGTCGTAGTTGGGAACACTTTGGAGCGCAGTGAAAAGGAGTATACAACAAATAATTTCTTTACAATCTTATTTGCTCAAATAATTAAAGAAAAACTCCACAATGATCTTATAAAAACGTTTAGTAAAAAAAATAAAAATGTGCAAGATGGATAACGGCAGCCAGAAGAGAGAATAACATCAAATTTACTGTTCCGTCCCATAGGCACTGCATTAGAAAATGCCTCGCACAAGCGGTTATTCGTTTTTGTTATTTGCTGCAAAGAGGATATAAAACATACCTGAATGCATAGAAACGTTCATAGGTTTTTTAATAATCTAAATATTAAAAGCGTTCAAGGATTTAAGATGCTAATGACCGTTAAACACATTATAGCGGCTCGTGCTATAAAACTGTCCTACGTTTAATGATTCCAGAAGACTTTTTCATGAAATGAACTCTCTTAAGAAGGTTTTTAGCAAAGTGACACCAGAAAAGATTTTAGATTTTTTTTAACCATGTATTAACACTAAAAATTTTATTTAATTTATGTATTCATTTGTTTGTTGATTTTAAATTGTACATTTATTATTGAAATATTCCTGCCATAAAAAAAGCCTCAGTTGCTGACATTGGTATTAAATAATAAAAATACATAAATAACGGCTTGTGAAAAGGGTCAATTGGTGCGACGCGAGAGTGATGGTCTCTTTGTTGCAGCTTTTGTATATTCAGTGTTTTGAGCTGCAGTGATTCCAGCGGAGCAATCAGCTCCATCTTGTGTCCAACCATATGTCCTCTCCCGGAAGATCTGCGGGTCTCCTGCATATTATCTATTATTTTCTGTAAAGCTGCTTTTGTCCATACTAAATGGTTATAAGAGACATGTTTGAGATTATATGCAGTAATAATAATGTATAGGATTATATGCAGCAGTCTTAGTTTATTATCTTCCTTGACAGCTCACTTTCTTTCCAGTCTCATATCAATAATATAACTAAGTCTTCATATTTTCATCTCCGTAATATAAACAGTCTCCGCTCCTCTCACCACTCACACAACCTCTATCTTCGAACATAGCCTTGTCACCTCACTCATTGATTATTGCAATTCTCTTCTTTATGGTCATTCACAGAAATCCCTCTATAAGCTTTAACTGGTCCAGAACATCACCAAAACTCCTCCTTTTCACCATTTTACCCCCATTTCACAGGACCTGCACTGGCTTCCAATCAAACCCAGAGTCGAATAAAAAATCCTCCCGCATGCATTCAAGGCCATCCACAACCTTGCACCACCTTACTTGTCTGATCTCCGACATATTACCAGTCATTCCCGCTCCCTTAGATCCTCCTCCTCCATTCAGTCTGTTCCTTCTGCCTGTCTCAGCACAATAGGGAACAGAGTTTTTTGCCGGTCTACTCCCAAACTTGGAATTCTCTTCTGTCTGACTTCCGCAACATTGACTCTCTCGATCTGTTTAAATACAGGCCTAAAACTCATCTGTTCAAAATAACTTAGTCTTTATAACTGCCTACTACATTCTGTATCATGCCCTATATTATCTTCCCTATTTTTATAGTGTTGGTTTATTTCAAAGTATTAAATTGTGTGTGTGTGTGTGCGTGCGTGTGTGCGTGTGGGTGTGTATATATGTATATATATACATGTATGTATATATGTATGTATATATGTATGTATATATATGTGTATATATATATAATATATATATATATATATATATATATATATTTTTTTTTTAATTTTTTTTTTTTTTTTTTTTTTTTTTTTAACAGTGACCTTGGGTTTCTTGAAAGGTGCTTTAAATAAAATTATTATTATTACTATTATTATTAATATTATCTTAGGTAAGGAGAGATCTCCACTTAAGCATGATACTTAGAGGAAAAACCCGCTTTATGCAATGGCAATGTTGCATAAAGCTTGAAGCATCAGAATCGGTACTCGGTGTCAGCTGATCACAGAGACAAGGAAACGGTACACCGTATCGGCTGCAAAAATCCTGAACGGAGTATCCCAAATAAAAAAATTATCCTAATATTCTGAACAAAATTTTCTCTTGCCACGAATTTGTTTTTTAGCCAATACACATGGATATTTTTACACTAGTTTACTTTTGTTTTTAGACTTGTTAATTTGTTATTTCACATTGAAAAGCCAGTGTAAGACATTCAATTCTTTCCACATTTGCATTAAGAAAGTGCATTAAAATACAGATCATAGAAGCCCCCCCAAAATCTAACTGCGTACAGATGTTGTACATGTTTGATATAATGGATTGTGAAGCTTTGCATCTGTGGTTTATATCCTGACTGATTCCCTAGTGTAAAAAAAAATACAAGAGATGAAGCTGTATGTCCAACCCCTGAGTCCATAATCGGCTGATCGCAGCTTTAAGGGCATGTTAAAAGCTTAGATTAGAGACTGTGATCGTGGGGGTCTCTCCAAACAGACCCTGTTTGTGCGAGTTGTTTTCTTTCTTTCTGCTGGATAAATGTAATAAGGGGATAAACATGTTTACGCATTTCAAGTGATCTATTGTGTGAATGAAGCTTCGGCTCAGAGGCTCAGGAAATGTGTTTTTTTTCTCTCTCTCTCTCTCTTCTCTTGTGTGAGAAAGACAGGGAAAATGAGAAGGAAAGAGACACCGTTGGTTTTATACCATTCAGCTTGAGGGCAGAAATTGAGTATTTTGTTATGCATTTAAAGGCTGGCCATTATGAGTGTGTGATGTGGGGGAAGTTTGAGTAAACTAACTTGAGGATATAATATTGTAAAGCAGTATAAGAATAAGATCTGCTCAGTTCCCCATTGAATACATGTGTAATAGGGGTTAAAATCATTTTGAGTTTTTCCATGTTTAAGTATTTCCACAAGTAGTCAAAATACATTTGACCGAAGGCATTTGAAAAGCTGCTGTCCACATGGGATCAGATCATTGAAAACGCATGGTATTACAAGTTTTTTTTTGTGTGTGTGTGTGTGTAAAAAACTTGTCAGAAATTTACATTGAATAATAAGATATTATCCATCATTCATGTTATTTAAATCTTGCCGCACGTGAATAAGTATAACACACATATGAATAATTAATGAAATGTAATGGTAGTTACATGAATAAACAAATTACATTAAAAATTAAGAACATAAAATACAAAATTATTTTACAAAAAGGCTGATTATGCTTCTTTTGTCCAACAGTCAAGCTTTTAGTCTTAAGGTGCTTTCACACCTAGACTTTTGTTTCGGAACCTGGCGCATTTCCCCAGTTAGCGTGGTCCATTTGGCATATGTGAATCCAGTAATCGCGCTTGGATCCACGGCAAATCAATCGGTCTGAGATCGCCTGAATGAGGTGGTCTTGAATCGATTGAAACAAACTCTGGAGCGGATCGATTGTAATTAAAAAGCAAAACGATCCATTGATCTAACGAACCAGGTTATATCTCAGTGTATTATTGGTAAATAATATACATATTGATATGGCATATACGGCTATATGAAGAGAGAATTATGAGTAGGGCAGGATGTCATCATTCCTACTGGTAAATGTGCATTTCATGTCGAATACGAAAGTGAAAGCATGCTGTAATATTACAGAGAGCTGTTTATTCGTTACGAAAATTGACCAAACTGCAGTCTTGGTTCATCTGTTATTTCTCTCTGTAATGTAAAGCCTATAATACATAATTCTAGCCAAAGGCTATGTGTGGGAAATCTTACCTCTGATTTATATTTGGTGATGATATATGTGGGTGTCACCATTCAAAAATAATGTCTTATTGCTCATAGTCATAAATTAAAATAAGGATGCATGACAGCTGAGCGGGACTTTGCAAAATAAACCCTGAAACTCTGACCAGTGTGACGAGAGATTGCTTGCACGTGACTTGTTTTAGCTAATTTGGTCCAATTAGAAACTTTGCAGTGTGAAAACGAACCACACCAAGCACAAAGTGCAACATTTTAACAATTTTAATCCCTGTGTGAAAGTACCCTTAGAGACTAAAAGGGTTCCTAGATAATCAAAGAAAGGATCGCAGGTCCTATAAAAGAGAAAAGGTTTGTTCTTCATAGCTGTGGAGAAAGTGGGATTATGTTGCAGACTGCAAGCAGCCATTGATTTTACTTTTACTAGGATACATTACCAATCAAAGTACACCGAAATATGTAGAAGGTCTCTATTCCGAAAAGTATAATGTTGTCATCATTGTGACCCAGTAAGCAAATAAAGGTTAAAGATGGATTTGAGCTACAGCCTTATCAAGTTTCAGAACTGCTATATAAGAAGACAACTCCACATACAATGCTAGAAAGATCCAGTGTTCGGTTTAGATTTCACACACAGCTCAGACAGACCTGGATTATGGTAACACAGGTTGAATAGGGGCTTCATATGAAATTAATCTCGATTTAGTTTTATATTCATTTGGAGTTTAGCTTTTTCATCAGGTTGAATTTGTTATCTTAAATCAGTCAATGAGTTTTTATATCTATATCTTTCAATCCATGATTATTTGAAAGCTTATTGTAATCAGTCATGAGAGTTTTGACTGGTGCCTTGTTGCATAGAGCAAATCTGCACTTTACAGATTTTTTGGTAAAGGAAACCACAATATGGAAGTTTTTCCACAAAAAAAGACATCAGAATTGCAATCTGTAAATGCTTTTATGAAAGATTTAGATGTTTCGTGGCAGTCTCCTTGTTTTTTTTTTTTTTGTATTTGTTTTTTTGCAAATAAAATAAGCTGGTTTTGTTTGCCTTTTCAGTCAAGTAAAAAAATACATATCGAGATTTATATTCATTTTGTTATTGGCTTTCAAATATAAAGAATTTTGGTTATTTTTATTGGTCAAAGCTTGCATCCCTATTTTTTAGACTCTTATTGAAGAAAACGAATATAAACATAACCCAAGATAAATTTGATCTAGTTAACACTGTTTGATGTTTTTTTTATGCTAACCTCTGCTCTTTCTGTGTTGCTGCAGGTTGTCCCAGACCCACAGTTGTGCCTCATGGCCGTGGTAACCTGACGGAAATGAACCGTGGCTCCTTCTCTGTTGGCACGCTGCTCCAGTACAGTTGTGATCCAGGATACACGTTGGACGGCGTAAGCATGATCTCATGCACCGTCACTGGCCAATGGTCCTCTAACCCACCTCGCTGCATCAAAAATGATGGTATGTATGATGGTACGTGTGTTTTTCCATATTTCTTTCTCCTTAGAGGCTATTGCTGTGTTTGTTTTATGGCAGAATTACAGTGAATATGTTTCAGAGTAGAAAAAAAAATTCTAGAAGTTCTAGTTTCTCTTAGTTGATCTGACTTGAAGCTTTTTTCCCTTCTAACAGTCTGCCAGCCACCAAGTGAGCCAGAAAACGGAGGGTACAACTGCCACCCGTCGCCATGCCACAGACTGACCCAGGGTACCGTGATTGAGTACTTTTGTGATGAGGGTTACATCCTGAAAGGAGGCTATCAGTTCCGAACCTGTGAAAGCGGAGAGTGGAATTCGCCCATGCAGATCAGCTGTCACCCTGTGCAAGGTACATCTCACAGCAGCAGCAGACTAATCCACACACTTGGACATTTGAACATTCTTTTGTGATCTTAAATATAGGCAGATTTCCTTTTTTTGGAAACTTTGCGAACAGAGGTTTAAATGCAATATGTTAAATGGACATATTTAAGTTCTTTAGATCAGGGGTCTGCAACCTTACAACACAGAACAGTCTTGGTATTGATAATTTTTCGTGGACCAGAGAGGCTAATTTTTGGTTGGTAGGTGTTGGCAAGTATGTACATGAAATTATATTTGTAAAACACATACATTCAACAACAAATTAGCACAACTCCCCATTATTGAGATTAGTGATGTTTCGTTTTTGAACAAATCATTTGTATGACTCAAGAACGATGAGTCCTCTTAGAGAGTGATTCGCTCATTCGTGCATATGCACAGTTGTGCAGGTTGAGGAGAAGATTAGTTACTTTTTCGAATCTTTTATCGGGTTTGAGTCGTTTAATCATCACGTAAAAGACAGAAGCCAATCATGTGCAGTCAGAGTTGAAAACAGATTCTCTAGAGTCCTCGGTTTGAGTCAGTCGTTCATCACGTGGATGACAGAAGCCAATCATATGCATTTAGAGCCGGAAAAAGATTTGATCCATTCATTTCTCGAGTCCTCAATTTAAGTCCTTCGTTCATCACGTAAAAGATAGGAGCCAATCATAAGCATTTCAAGCCGGGAAAAGATTTCTCAAGTCCTCGGTTTTGAGTCATCTCTCTTTACGTGGCGTCACGTGATGGACGAATGACTCAAAAACCAGAAGACTTAAAAGGTGAACTAATCATGGCTCCTTTCGGCTCAGACTGTGTGCATTAGTTGTTGCTTATATGGGACTGTCAGTGTGACGTGAACGAACCACTCTAATTTGAAGACCTGTCAGAAGATGTGAGCTGACATAATAGCCGCGTTTCCACTATCGCGCCTAAAGCGAGCGAGCCAGGGTAAGCCAAGGCCAGTCGCGTTTCCACTGTCACTTTAGGGGCCTAATCGGGCCAAATCAGGGCTTTCTTGAGGCCAGCAGCCAACCTTTTTCGGCCCACCGAATACCTTGGGCCAAAGAGGGCAAGCTGGGGCTTCGGGGCGGAGTGAAAGAAGAGACGGGCACAGTTTTCCGATCGCACACGAGTACATGCGCCAAACACATAAACAAATAAATAAATAAGGGAAAGAAAACATCTGGAACAAATTATAGGCTTGGGTTTTTTTGCGTATGATCGCCCTTCTGTTTCTCTTTTAAATGTAAGGCTGTTGCATAAAATAATGAAGTAGTTTTAATTTATAAATTACATTCTTTGCTGCATCCTCATTGATGTTTCAATAACGCATAATAATCTTTACACCATATTAAAGACACAGCAGACAGTAAAGATTTTCAAGAGTTTTTGTCAAGTTTAAAAGGTGTTTGTGGGCTTTTAGATGCCTGTATGTGAATGTGAGACTGAGGAAAAGAGCGCTCCCTTCACAGCTCTTTTTTCTTTTATTTTTTTATTGTTTTTTTATTATTATTTTGGAGATAATACACTATATGCTAACTATATGATAACAAAAGCTAGCTAGAACAATTAGGTACTATATCAAACTGTTTTAAAGCCAATTAAACTTTCATTTTTCAAAACCCTCTCCGAAAAAAAAAGATTTTAGCGTATGTTTTTATATGTAGTGCTAAAATTAAAAAAGTTTTAAAATACAAAATTTTAAGTACATGAAGAGCTTTATTAGTGCATAGCTGCTGAGCACAACGAAATAGGCTATATTTTATTACGTGCTGCTCTGATGTGCAGAAACACTTAACACTTACCTTTACTTAAGATATAATAAGCAACATCTTTAAATAAAAGGAATCACCTATTAAGTGTCATAAAGCCTATAGGGAAAATGTAATGTTTTAGTTCTCTCCGGAGCATTTGGGATGAATGTTGGACAGCGTCTGTCTAACTAAGGATGTTATAAAATACATTTTATATGGAGTTATTAATGGAGAATTTTATATATGTGGTTTTATATTATGGATGTGTGCGCTCCCTGCGCTGGGGTCCCTCCGTAAGTGGCAAGACCACTGGATTTCGATGCCAACAGTCGGTCAGCGAGTAAATGAATATGATGAATGAGAACACACAGGTATGTGCGTATAGATATAAAAAAGTACTGCTGTACAGTAACGTGTCATTGGTTTGTTTTGGTTGTCCTAATTTTAGTTAATAGTTTCGTGATGATGTGGTGTGCTTTATCTGCCTGATTCCCGCTGAAGTGGGCGGATTGAGTGACGTTAGATTTGGGCGGTTGTTCTGGGGGCGGGTTTGTGTGACGTGCTGTGAGCTACTATCCCGACAGTGGAAACGCGACATGATTTCGACCTCACTGCTCAATTTCCTGGGCGGTTGGCCCGGCCTGGCCCGATAAAAGCCCTGGCTCGCACTGGCCCGATAGTGGAAATGTGGCTATTCATAGACAAAAGACCAGATAAACAATAAATTATTATTTTCTCTTTCTTATTGCAGTCTAGTTATGACTTTTTTTGTAGTTTGATCAACGTTTGGTGTAGTTGTTGATGAGTTTGTAAGCATATTGTAACATTTTAATAATATTTTTGCAAATTCATTAAAATTACTTGAAAAAATATTAGTTTTTCTTAATGAACGAGACTTAAAGGTCAGAGTCGGTAAAATGATCCTAACTTCCGATCAATAATTGAGTGAGATATTTGTTTTCTACTCATGCTGTACTAGTAATTGAATAAAGAGGGGTGCCTGCTGCGTTGTAAACTAAATTAAGCAAACAAACCTTCTGACTTCAAACAGTATGATTACCTTTGATAAAAATAGTTTCACAGTATAACGGTGTTAGTATTGTAAAAACAACAACTTTCCCCCTCACATTGAACACAGTATAAATTAAGAAACATTAAATATTTTGGAATGGTAAAGATGTCAAAGATCCTAAATAATTAAATTAATCATTGACTTCTGCTGTCTTCATTAGTTTCAAAAACAACTTGAAAAGGCATGTTTTGATTATCTTTTCTGTGGATATAAGGTAAACCACTCCACTGTTCGGGTTGAGAGCAGGCTTGGATGTTGTAAAGTGAATTTTATTTTTTTTTAAATGTTTCCTGAATTGTGGGCTGACCAGTAGACCTTGATGTAGAGGGTCCTTTTCTACTGGAGAATTTTTTGTCCTAAAAAACTAAATTAAATAACCAAAAAAAGGTAAACCTTGAAACTGGTTATCGTCCCATGCCTACTATAGATACACTGTCAGTAGATAGAAGAAGGGAAGAACATGAAAAATTGTATATTTAAAATGTCGATCAATTATTATTGTGGCCTAAAAGACGGTGAGTACAAGTTTTCTTGTAGGTTTTCATCTGTTTGGATAACTAGTTTGTAAGGTTGGGTGTCATTAGGGTGTTTTGTGATACCAGTGCCGTGTTTATGCTTTTTAAACAATCCCAATGCCTGAACTGAAACTTTAAATAAGACCCACAAAACGATGTTTGAGCCACCTAACCCAACTATAGTAATCCAACAGTACTAATAACAGCAAACTAGTCACTATTTATTTATATGCTGCAAACCAATTATTTTAGCAGAATTATGAACCTGTTTGCTTTCTCTATCAAAGAACAACACTTAGGGCTCTTTCTGGCCTATCCTGGGATTGTTTAAAACAATGCAGCACACATTTCACTATAAATATTACATTTTGACGGAATAGTTATAAGCCTGACCTTCTAAGTCACAGTCTTTCATGCAATAACTTGCTCTGTCTGCGCTTTCCAGTTTTCATACAAACCTAGCACAACATTTAGAAATGACTCCAACACCCTCTGAAATCATCAAAACAGGCCAAGATAAACAGTTTAGCATGCTAACCACCTTTTTTTTTACTGCTTTTACTACAACTAGATATACATCACCGTGAACTTGTTTAAGCTTTATTACTCAAAGAATTTTTTTTTCTTGTTCCAGGGGAGGAGCAGCACTCTTCATTGCCCATGCCAGCTCTCTCTATTGTGGCCTCTACTGCTAGTTCTGTTGCCCTCATCCTTCTGCTGGTGGTGCTGTTTGTTTTGCTTCAGCCAAAACTCAAGTCCTTCCATCACAGCCGGTGAGGCCCGTCTCCCTCTCATTGAGTGTTACGTCTTCAAAAACGAATGTTTTATCAACACAAAGAAAGAGAGTGTTACGTAGAGCTATTAAAGGCACAGTGGCAAATACAGTCTGTTTAACTTTAACCTTAAACCGAAATGATGGTTATTTAGTTAATTACGGCTTCAGGAGGATAATAATAATAATAATAATAATAGTGGCCCAAAGAAATAATTTGAGTATTTAATGGAAATAGCCCATAGCCAGGAGGGTTCGGGTGGTCAAAAAGACTCACCCCCACTGACAAAGTCCAAAATTTGACTTCTTTATGAGCTCATTTATCCCATTTGTGACTGCTATACGATCATGAATTGTGAAAATTATAGATCGAAGAAGACCAAAACAAATTTCATTTTTAATTATTCAAGTGGCGAAATTCTGACTGAGGAAAGTTGAATGAGCTGACCAGCTTTTATTTGCCCATAGGCTACAGTTTTTATTTTAAAACAATTTTACCAGATTCCTGTTTTTTTCAGTGATAGATCATAATACATTTATAAATGATAAATTCTAAATAAATTTGTTTTATTTTATTTTATTTATAAAAAAAAATGTTATGCTAATCATAAAACATTATATATAAAACTGTATTAACTTGCAGTTTAAATCTAAATTTGTAAATAAATACTTTGAGGTAATATATTATGATGAGCACTTATGGTGACAAGCTGATCCGGCAAAGATTAGTTCTTAAAATGTCACTAAAATGTACAATTAAATAGAAAATAGGGTAATAACTGCAAAAAGGTCCACTTTTTCAGAAAAAAAGAACCACCCCTTTCAATAAGCTGGTTACGAGCCTGACAATGTATATCTGATGTTTGTCACCATTTATACTTGCAAGTCTGAACTCGGTAAGATTGCTTAATGTTTTAGAATGATGTCTCTTTTGCCTGGCTGTTTGTTCCTGTGATGACAAAGCATCCATTACTTAAGTCCTAGAGTCACATGATCCTTCAGAACTCATTAGAATATGTTGATTTGCTACTTGAGAAACGTTTTCTATCATCAGTGTTGAAAACAGGTGCTTAACTTTTTTTGTGGAGCCCACAATAAATTCAAATTTCTCCAGATCCTTTAAATAGGAATTTAAAGAGCAATATTTAGTCTTTTTTTGTCATTACAGTAACATACTTATGGAATTTAGCTATGAATGTGTACTGTATATATAGATACCATAGTGTTTGAATACGTCTGTCTTCACTTTGGTCAATTGTAAACAATATAATACAATTGTATCATTTGTAAAATAGTTTTTTTTTTCTTAAAGATGTTTGATATACAACACAAAGACATCCATTCAAACGTTCAATATTTTCTTCTTTCGAGAACATGTATGGCTAGTTTAAAAGTTACCAATGTATTAATTTTGGTAGCAAGCACAGATAAAATCAATCCTGATCCCAACTGTTAGACATGAACCAATATGGCACATCCCCGACGGCGCTGTTGTTCCAGTAATTTGCTGTTGCGTAATCAGCTGTGATGTAAGCCACAGATCAGATCAGGCAGGTCAGGATTTGATACGGTTTAGGCTTTATTTTTATTCTCACATCTTTCCCTCTGTGTTTTGAAGCAGCCGGGAGCAGGGTGTGTCAGGACAGCACTCCTCCATGATGGTGGGGGGTGTTCAGGTGTCGCTGCCCTCCTATGAAGAGGCTGTGTACGGGGCGGGCGGCACTTCTGTACCTCCTCCAGAGTCGCGGGTGCAGATCGTGCTGTCGGAGGGCCCTCAAGCTGAGGCTTTGCATGAACCTCTGGAACAGGCTCAGGCGAGCTACAGTTTCCCTTCCACCTCCGCTGCTGCGAGCTCTTGTCACGCAGAGACTGTACTGGTTCACCAGGTGGCCTGTTCCTCCTCTCCCTCCTCCTCTTCCTCTCCCTCCTGGGCTGTTGAGCAGCCTGGTGCCGCTGCGCCTCTCCACCGCCAGCAAAGCAGCGAGAGCAGCGACCAGCACAGCCTGCTTTCAGTCACCTCTGCTGAAGACTATGGCGATGGTGAGTCAACTTGCACATTTAGATCTAGAAGTGATTGGTGGCAAAATTTGCTATATTTTCTAATTAATATATAATTCATTTTATATTATATATTTGACTATATATTATGTGCATTTCTTTATTATAAAAAATAATACACAGCTGAATTTTATTAGCCCGCAGTCAGAATTTTGAGCCCTCCTGTGAATTTATTTTTTCTTTTTTTGAATATTTAAATTCAGGAAGGCTAATAATTCTGACTTCATCTGTACATTGTGTACATAAAATTACATTTCTTACTACTATACTACTTGTGCTGTGAAACCCTTTGATTTATCGCATCCATAATAAAAGCTTGTATTGCAAATGCATAAATAATACATAATAAATACTGTGTAGTTACTTATATATGGAACAAAATTTTTATATTTATATATAAATTGTTATTTTTTTTATATTTTAATATCAACATAAACAGTTTCTCAAATATATGCATAATAAATGTACACAGTAGACATTAGGGGTTTAATGGTTTACAAATCTCTCGGTTCGGATCATGTTTTTAAATCATGGATTGGACCATTTTTTGGTTCAGCAAAAAAGGGAGGAGACAAATGTCATTTGCTTTTCATTTATACAAAAATATTACTGCAAAAAAAAAAAAACCTTGGTTTTAACAAACACAATTAGAACCGGTCGTTTTTTTTTTTTTTTTTTTCATACCATGAAAAGGTCATATAATTGGTCGTTTTATATTTTGTATGATGTACTTTTCAATAAATAATTGTTTTATTTTCCATCAAAACAATCAAAATTTATATTATTTGCAATGGACCTTTTTTACATTTACGTGTTTCTCAGCAGCAGAAGTCGTCATAGTTTGGTAAACTTAGAGCTCAGTGAATGGAGAGGACTACAACGAATATTTTTTACAATCCTATTTGCTCAAATAATAAAAGAAAAACTCAACAATGGTGTTATCGAGACTTTCAAAAACAGGAAAAAAATTGTGTAAGGCTGATAACGGCAGCCAGAAGAGAGAACAATGTCATATTGACTGTCTGGCCCCCATAGACACTGCGTCAGAAACACCTTACATAAGCGGTAGTTTTTGGTAATTTGATGTGAAGATGATATAATACATATGTAAATACATGTGAATGAAAACATATAAATGTATATACATACGTTTTTTTTTTGTCTAAATTTACAGGATTTAAGATACTGATGACCGTTAAATGCATCATAAGTAAAAAGTGTCCATTAAACTCCCACTAATACATGCATTAAAGTCAGTATTTGTATGAGTTTATAATTTTTTATTAAAAAGTCATATCAAAATGAGCCACATGCCTTTGACACATTTCTCTTTTCACCGCTAACCTAAATTCTTTCTCCATTTTTCCTTCAGATATTCCATTGCTAAAGGAAGCCTGAGTCTGTGTGCATTCGCCCCTCTCTCTGTCATCGCTGGCCAGGACTATAAAACCCTTAAAAGCTTCTCACCAAACACTCGCCCTTCCCACAGCCACCTGAAATGCGACCCGTCAGCTGTCCCTCAGCCAACAAAATTGCCCGCCTTGGGGGTCTGCAAGCTATGGGGTCCAACAGCTCTCTACACCGGACGACCCTTTAAAGGGATGCGCAAATGCTCAAGTTTAACACGTTGCACCTTTTCTTGCAGGTGTGCTCATAATCAGTTGCACTCACAGGCTTACCTCGTCACGGCGAGGATTCGCTAATTACAAACGAATGCATTCAGATTACGTGATGGACGTCCGCTCCGTCAATGACTGTGACCTCTTGCGAAAGAGAGAGTTCAGCAAGGATTTGCTAAGTCAGGCCCTTTTCTCTTTGATGCTGCATGTTCTGTGCAATTTTTTTACATTTTCTTTTCTGTTTCTACACGCGCGTACACACAGGAGCACGGCATCAAAGCATGACACACGGCACCATCTCCACGCTTTGACCTTGTGCGAGACGCAGGGTTAAACCCATTTGCATTGTACTGCATTCAAATACATGCTTGCCTTTTTTTATTTGTCCAGATGTACCTGTGCTGTGCTCTGCGTGTGTGTATGTGTGTTTCTGATGCCTGTGTGACTGTGGCTGTTGTGATTCGAAGAGGGCTGAAGCATCACCTAGGCTTTTTTTGTCCCCAAAATAGGAAACCTTTTTGGATACCTCCATCTTTTTATAATTGAAATGTTATTTAAGTAGAATGGATGTTCCTCGTCTACATGTCTGTTCGTCTAAAGTGAGGGAGATAAACTTCTGAGATCAAGGAGAAATAGTTTGATCTTATTTCTTAATTTGAAAGCAAGTATGTCTCCCTCATGTTTATGTGTTGCACGCACAAGTAAAAAAAAAAGCAATTTTCTTTTTTTAATCACTTTTATGTTCATTTTCCAGAAGGACTTTGGTGGATTGCGGAGAAGGTCTATTGCTGAGCTGTACATTATGAGCTTTGACTAATACCATTTGTTTTATAATTTAAGGAAGTTTAATTCACTTTTAATTTGTGGAACTAAAATGAAACCACACATGTGGCGGATATTTTAAAGATCACTGTCAAGGATAGAAGCATCCTTCGCTTTTTTAGTTTTTTAGTGCCATCTGTTCTTGAGATGGTATTTGAAAAGAGAGTTAATCAGATATGCCATCAGAAATGGGTTGTACATTGTTTTAATGCACCGTGAATCAGATTTTGCACCATTTTGCATCTTTTGAAAAAGTTGAGCCGATTGGAATGTCATCACTTAATTGAATGGGTGTTATTAGTGGTTATCAGCTAATAGATATGGGCCAGTTGGGGCCTTCTGTGCTTACTGGTAGGCTCAGAAGTCTCTTATGATTAATCAGCGATATATCATATGACTGTAATTAATGAGAATCATTTATATTATTTATTAAATTTCCCATTAATTGTATTTAATTAACGTCTCCCCCATCCCTAAATCCTACCATCACAGTAATTTAAAAACAGATCTAGATCTGGAGTCTTCACTACTATTATAACTGATAAACCACAAGAATTATTTATGTTATTCTTAAAATTTCCCATTAAATTGCAGCACGGTGGCGCAGTAGGTAGCACGATCGCTTCACAGCAAGAAGGTCGCTGGTTCGAGCCCCAGCTGGGTCAGTTGGCATTTCTGTGTGGAGTTTGCATGTTCTCTCTGTGTTCATGTGGGTTTCCTCCAGGTGCTCTGGATTCCCCCACAGTCCAAAGACATGCGCTGTAGGTGAATTAAAATATTCTGTAGTGTATGTGAGTGTGTGCAAGAGTGTGTATGGGTGTTTCCCAGTGTTGGGTTGCGGCTGGACGGGCATCTGCTGTGTAAAACATCTGCTGGATAAGTTGGCGGTTCATTCCGCTGTGGCGATCTCTGATTAATAAAGGGACTAAGCCGAAAAGAAAATGAATGAATGTAATTTCCCATTAATTGTATTTTATTATCGCCTACCCCAACCCTAAACCCAACCGTTTCAGTAATGTAAAAACAGATCTTGATGTGGAGTCTTCTCTATATTAGTATAGCGGGTTAACCATGTGGATGGATAATAACAGCCTTCTGAGCCTACCAGTAGGTGTAGAAGGACCCTACTGGCCCAAATCTATCAGCTGATAACGCCTATTCAATTGAGTAAATCGGGTAAAAAGTTAGCTGTTGACTTGGAAAAATCTGGTGATTTAGGATTTATATTTGTGTTTGAGCAACAACGAATTCTACCAAATTAAAAATCCAAATGTCATTTTCAGCATTTGTTTTTTTTCAGAGAAGTAACCAGAAAATAATTTTTCAGACATATTTATATTAACGTCTCGACGTTTAAAGAGTTAAGAAGTCAATATTTGGTGCAATAAGCCTGGATTTTTAATCGAAACAAAAAAAAAAATAATTTGTTGTTCTGATTAACTCTCTTTTTTAAAATTACTATTTTTTTATTTGAACTTTTAAGAAAATCAGTCCAGGATACTTAAACCCATAACTAATAAATCCAATTAATCCACAAAAACTGAGATTTTATAAGAATTTAAATTATTTCTGTTTTAATTTCAAAACAGCTGCAGAAAATGGCCTTGTTCTTCACTCGTGATGTTCTTTTGGCAAACGTACATTTGAAAAACCAATGAATCTTTTGTTTAAGATGCTTTTTCTTCGTGTTTTACATCCTTGTCCATTGGACTTTGCCACTTCGTATGTATATTCCCTTGTGTTTGGTGCGAGATTCTGATGTTTATCATCATGCATCAAATATATATATATTTTGTGTGTCTGACTTTGGAGAGAGAGAGAGAGAGAGAGAGAGAGAGAGAGAGAGAGAGAGAGGGCAAATTTGCCTGTCTGCACATCCTCAGTTGAGTGTTCCTGGCTTGTTTCTGTATATTGATTTTTTTTTTTTTGGTTTTGTTCATGCAAACTGAAGGCAAGATATTACTGCTGCCTTAAAACTTGTACATTTCATACATTTCTCACTTTGTAATCATGTGTTTCTACCATCTCACTGGCTTTATGGTAATTTGTCTTCAGTTTCCTTATGGCCTTACTTTTTGTTTTCTATGCATAAACATTGTCTTGTTGATTTCCAGACGTAGGGTCTTACTCCTTTGGAGGATGTGACATAAGATTGTCTACACGTACTTCCTCAGATGCGTTTTTATTTTCCAGTGAACATGAAAGTTGTTTAGTTTAAAAAAAAAAGGATGCAAGTTTAAAAAAGGATATCCAGGATGTGTGTGAAACACTGTTGTACGGTGTTTTTTCTGCAAATGTAATTTAAGTTGACTCATCCACTCAGCTCCCCATCCCTCATTACACTTCTTTTGGTTTTCCTCTGTACATTGCTGTGGGTGTGAAAATAGTATTTTAATATTTGTATAAAGTTTAATTTAATTCTACAGTGTGTATATAACTATTTCTAATTAAAGCTTTCATTTGAAGTGCACATGTGGTTTGTGTATTTTGGTGTTCGTCAAGGGGTTATTTACTCTATAGACCATTTCAGTGTGGTCACGTCATTGGGCCATGAACATTTCCTGCTTGTTGTCAAACTATTTCATAACCGTAACAAGGGGCGATTCAATCATAATGTTAAAACTGCCATCATAACATTATTCATCAACATGTGACTCTTTTAGGTTATTGATAAGCTATGGCAATTAAAATGTTAAACAGGAAATACATTAGGACCATTGGTATTGTTTACATCCCTCAAAATGGTCTATAAATGCATTCAACCATCTATTAAATTGTTAAATTCCTTAATGTTGTGCGATGGCTCCATCTAGTGGTGGATCTTCGTATGAACGTTTTAGATGTAGCAACTACGAATCATTTCTGCTAGTCGATTCTTTTGAACAGTTTATTCACTGATAAAAGAACAATTCGCTGCAATGTATGCACATTGTTTTAACCTTTTTATCAAATAATAATCAAGTAAAAATAAAAGGTCCGACTCGTTTTCGCTAGTTGGTTCAGTTGAACAGTTTAATTAAAGAGCCGACTCAAACGAATCATAACTCTATTACCTGGATCTTGTATTTTCTAGAATCTTGTTTATTTGATCAATCTGGGTTATTATTTACACCAACTGAAGCTACTGAAACTAATTTGCAAAATAAATTGACGTTTTTGAGCAGTCAGAATCCGTTAAACTATTAAAATAATAGCTGATTCGTGAATTGTTGTTTGTTTTTTGTAAACCAGTTCAAGTGGTTTGAAGAACAGCTACGGTATTTACTTAGACTATATTAAATATTTTATGGTCAGAATAAAGATGTCGGTCATTGTTATTAAGTTAATAGACTAATAAACGAAACACTACACATTATTTTGTTTTATCCTTTATATGCTTTCAATTATAATAAGCACAGTAAAATTAAAGTCCCTTAAGTTGTAGCTATAATTTATTTTATGTATTCTATAGTCTTTGGTGATATTCACAGTTTAATACGAAGATACGTTAAGCCTCTGTCGCCAAGGCCATACATTTACATTGTGTGTACTTGGCAATAAAGCTGATTGTAGTGTGTCACAGTTGTTCTCATCTCGTCCTCTGTTCTGAACTGATCTCAGATCAGCGCTGAGCGTCGCTCTCCGCTCTACATTTATTGACTGACTCCATTTTGTGTGAGGAGCTGTTCGCACGCAGACACGACACATTCACAGGAGAACCATTAAACAGAGGTATGTTGCCTGAAATAAAATGTTCATCTGAGTTTAGAATTTAACGGGTGTGTTGTTAAATCAACTGTTTTGCTTTGTGATTCGTTATTTAACGAGCTCTGTTTGAATAACGTTATGGGTTGTGGTTCATAAAGGCCTCAAGCCTTCATTGATTCAGAAATGCGTCGGTGTTTGGCTCTTGCAGAATGTAAGTATCGTTATTTGATGACTGTTTTCATGCAATGGTCTTTGATTTAAAGAGGATGAGCGGTTGTCGTATTTTCATCGGTCGGTTAAACCCCTCTGCGCGGGAGAAGGACGTCGAGCGCTTCTTCAAGGGCTACGGGAGAATCAGAGACATCGACCTCAAACGAGGCTTCGGTTTTGTGGTAAGTTTGGAAAGCCTTATAGACATTTTCCTCAACATTATAATGAGCGTGCTATTGACATAAGAGCATGCAGTGGTATTGCATAGGAAGAAGCGTCTATTACTGGCCTAACCTCAGTTGGGTTACCTGATAGGCTGTTTCAAAACATGGTGTGCTGACTACATAGGCTGCGCTATGGGTACCTATTGTAATGGACAGCTTTTGTCTATTAAATCGATATGTTATAAAATCAGAGTGTTTTAAAACCATGCCCCTCATAAGCCAACAGTGGTTTTGTTATAATAAAGGTGTAGTTGCCGTCGTTGTTGGCACATTGATTACAATTTGTTTAATCACAATTTTCTACATATACCATGGTTAATACTTTAACTGTTTTCCAGTAGGTTTTTTTTGTCTAAATCTGAACTTAACTTGACAAACTGTATAAATATCAAGTTTGAATAAAAAAAAAAAAAAAGTAATCCTTAAAGAAGCTTAACATGAATGTTAGCTTGCCTTAGTTTAATTACAAAAAATATTTAGAAATGTATTTTTTTAGTGAAAAAGTGATTTTTTTTTTTGTCAGGGGCTTATTTAATTTAAAACTGTAAATGTATGCTTATTGTTATATATTTTCAAATACAATATCATTCAGATGTTCGGGAAAGTCATATTCTACTTTTAAGTTATATTTTTAAGTTATATTTCAGCATCTTTTAAATCAGACTTCAGCATCACATGATCTTAAATCAGTGATCTCTTTGATTAATGTATTTTGATTAATTGGCTACAAATTTATTTAATGAAAATAAAATGAAATGTTTGCAGAATAAATGTATACATTTCTTTTGAAACAATCTCAGTAACCCCAACTTTATAGACAGTAGTGTACACAATATAAAAATATATAAAGAATATTGAAGTCTTTTTTGTTCTAATAGCCAATTCACGCTAATAGCCTAGTGGTTAAGTGCGCCGACATATAGCACCATGGTGCTCACGGCGACCCAAGTTTGATTCCCGACTTGAGGTCCTTTGCCAATCTTTCCCCTTTTTCTGCTCCCCACACTTTCCTGTCTGTAACCTCCACTGTGCTATCCAAATTAAAGGTGAAAACTTCCTAAAATAATAAGAAAGATTAGGATCACATGTAAATGTCCTTTTCTTGTTTCCTGCAGGAATTTGATGATCCAAGAGATGCTGAAGATGCTGTTTATGAGCTTGATGGAAAAGAGCTCTGCAATGAGAGGTATGTTTTCCATCTGTGCCAATTTCACTACACCCTGTATTATCTCAGCAAAAAAAAGAGAAAATCTAAAGGCTTTGATGCACCAACATCTAAGAACTTGTGGCGACAAATGCTAACTGTGCTCTCGCCTCAAATGGACTGCATCTCAGCCAGAATGCACTCAAAGAAAAGGCAGACTGTAAGCTAGCATGTTCGACCTACGCAAAGAAATAACTGTACATTAGCAGGTATCAATAGACTGTATTCCTCATTCAAAAAAGTACTTGGAATGAGGACTGCAGAATATACAAAGCATAAACAAAGCAGAGCTCGCTTACCATTTTGAATATCAGTCATGCTCATCGCATTCTTCATTTCAGGCAGCTGATGCGGTCATAAAAATATTTGCTGATATGTCTCTGGACCACTTAAACACACCTATAAATTGCAAGTGTGTATTTGTGGAAAGTGTCAAAATTATAGCTTTTTATTTCATGGCCAAAATCAATATAATATTAAGTAAAGGTCATGTTGCACGAAGACATTTAGTAAATTTATTTTCATGTCACTCTTTATTTATTAAGCGCTTTTTAAAAACAACAAGTGCTTACCAAAGTGCTGTACACACATACACCATCTAAAACAAAGGACATATGCAACAGACAAAACTCTCATATGGTATTAAAAGCCAAAAAGTAAAAATGGGTTTTAGAATTAGATTTAAAAAGAGAAAGGGTTGTGGCCTGCCTAACATGAAGAGGAGAGTTTAGGGCAACCACTGCATAGGCACGGTCCATGGAACAGCCAAAAGTAGCTGATTAGCACATCTACGTACCCTTGATGGAGTGTACAATTAAATTATTGCAGACCGGTATTTTGGTATTTTGGCTAGTCTATTTAGGCATTTTAACACCAAAACTAAAATCTTAAAATGTATCCTAAACTAAACAGGGAGCCAGCATGGGTTTAATGTGTTCTCGTTTGCATGTCCCTGTCAGAAAACTAGCAGCAGCATTCTGCACTGTCTGCAGAGTCTTTAAAAGTCTTAAAACATCTTAAATCTCAAAGTCCAAATTTTAGGCCCTAAAGTCTTAGATTTACTGAAATATTGTGTTGTAGGTCTTAAATCTTTTCTAAACAGGTCTTAATTTTCCTTTGTTCATGTATTGCGACCCAGTCTGGCCAACAGCCATACAATCACCAACAATCCATCTCAATAAAACTTTTTATTTAAGGTATTTAACTCCTTTTTTTTTATTTTTTATTTTTTATACTTAATTGTATTTATCATAATAGTTTAATTAGTTTTCTTACAATAACATTTGTTTAAAAGTTATCAAAGTATTTCCTGCTGAGGACACCAACCTAGACAGATTAAAAAAAAAAAAAAAGTTTGGATACAAGTAGAATAGTAAGTAATATTTAAAATATTTTATTTTTTATTATTAGTGTAATATTGTTATATAAAATGCCTTAAATTATAATAAAATAATATTGGGCAAATAAAAATCCTTTCTATCTGGGCCATTTTAAAAATTCCTTAGCCTTTTATGAGTCTAAAATTTCATTCATAATGGTCTTAAAAATGTCTTAAGTCTTAAATTTAACTCTGTGAAACCTGCAGAAACCCTAGGACAAGTAAGGGAGGCATGGCTAATACCCACATAGAGGGCATTACAGTAATCTAGCTGAAAAAAAAAAAATATATATATATATACAATTCTTTCAAAGTTGTTAAAAGACAGAAAAGAAACTTAACTTTGGATAATTGCCTTAACTGGAAAAAAATAGCTTTAATTATTGAATAAATCTGTTTGTCCAGTTTGAAGTCACTATCAATAATAACACCCAGGTTCTTAAAGTTAAACTTAAACTAATATAAAAATATAAGTATATAAAATCATTAATTAGGCTGAGAACTGAACTTGTACATATTTAAAAGGTGAATTTCTCAATAATTAGATATTTTTTAAAATAGATTCCAGATTTTTGAAATAGCTGTGTCTTGACCATTATTGTCAAAACCTAACAAACTATAAATAACTAAATGGTTTCAGATTATGTATTAATCTCATATGATTCTGAAGTACTCCAGTTAGATGGTGTAAAATTAGAACAGTTTTTTTTCTTCTATGGCTTGCATCAGTTTAAATTTTATTACAGACTCACTTACTAAAGTTAACATCCGGTTAGAGTAGAGCACTAATGACCCCTATTGGCAAACTGCTAAAACCAATGGCCCGTTGTTGGCCGAACATCAACTGTGTATGTCATGGCTTGAAGGTGTTTAGGTTAAAAAAAGAGCTCTCTGAGTGAACTGATATATTAGGCAGACATGCATATGAGGGACCTTTTTTGTTTGTTTTCAGAGTGACCATTGAACATGCACGCGTTCGTCTGCGTGGAGGCCGAGGTCGTGGGGGTGGAGGACGTTTCCCTGCTCGGTATGGTCGAGGCTCTCAGGACAGCCGAAGGTGAGTGTCAGTCTTTAGGTAAACTTTCCTCATGGGTCTTTTTTGTTATTATTTATTGCAGACAAACCTTCTGTTATGTGTGAATACTTTACAGTTCAAAATAAGGATGCATGATGTTGGAAAAATCTAACATTGCAATTTCTTTATTCTGCGATTTACTTATTACAGTATGTATACAATATTCCTAGATGACAAATAACTATTTGGAAAGAATTTATAATTTTAGATTCACTGGAATTACTCTGTAAGGGAATATATCTGCATAAAAACATATATTTAAAAACAATCTACAATACTAGATGTATTCAATAAAGAAAAAGATACAAATTAAATGAACTACATTTTATTGTTTTTAGTTCATAGTCTTGATATAAACAATTAGATGAAATTAACTGTTAATCATTTTTCAAAGTTACAAATGGTCCAATTTCATATGCCTGAATGTTTTTAAAATCCTCATACAGTCTTGGGCCTCAAAAAACAATTGTTGTTGGGGTACAGGAACTGTAGGCTTGTTTTTGTGACTTAGTTCCTATAACTACTCTGTGCTAAAGCCACTGTTATTAAAACATCATCTTTTTTTATTCCAGCTGATGAACAGTTAAAATATTGGCAGTCATTATTGCAGAATCCTTCCTGATTTAAATAGCATTTAAAACAACAGATTATACCATTGTAGTGTGATTTATAATAAAATAATGTTATCACACATTGGTGTAGGTGATATTATAGTTATTGAGCAATTCCAATGTTATGAATGTGACATTTGCCGTAAAAACTCAAAATATAAATTCACAAAGAAAGTATACGTTAATATTATTTTGAAATATGTTTATATTTTATTATGAGTTGTAGGACCAGAAAATTATCAACCTGTAAACATGTTTTGTACTTTAAATGAAGAAAATAAACACGCGTTATGGATGTGAGAAAAAAAGTCTCAGATTTTACAGTATACAACACACTGTAGAAATTCTGTAAATTAAACTGCAAAAAATACTAATGCTAATCGAAAGGATAAGAGTTGCTCTGTATAGAAAAAAAAAGTTTGAAAACATTGACAGACATTTTTGAGGATTTCTTAAGTACTGTAAAATACTTGTTTACACAAAAAACATAGAAACAGTTTCTGTAATTTTTTTTCATGGCAAAGTTTACATTTGCATTAAAGTGCTCTCTAGTCACTTTTATAGATTTTGTGAAGTCTTAGACATTTCTAATGTTACCAATAATTGGCAAACAATTCTGAATAAATATATATTCACAACAAATACTAACTGTTTTCAACAATGCTGTTGATCGATTGTCTTGTTCCGAAACAGGGATTAAAATTGTTACATTGTTGCTCTTAGTTCTTGGTGCGATTCGCTTTCACACTTGAAAGTTTCTTAATGAACCAAAAGAGCTAAAAACAATTCACATGCAAGTAAACTCTCCTAACATTGGTCAGAATTTCACAGTTTGAGTCTCGGTCAGCTGTCATGCATCCTTATTTTAAATTATGACTTTGAGCAATAAGACATTAGAAGCGAAAAGCTACGCTTTAATTTTGAATGGTGACACCTACAGACATCACCAAATATCATATCATATCATATATCAATAAAAGTCAGAGGTAAGACTTTCTCAGACATATCAGTTGGCTTATGCATTATAGGCCTTTACATTATAGAGAGAAGTAACAGATAAACCAAGACTGTTGTTCTGTCAATTTTCTTAACAGATACACAGCTCTCGTTAATAGTTCAGTACGCTTTCACTTTCGAATTTTACATGAAACACACTTTTACCAGTAGGAATTACATCCATAGAGGCGACCCAGGCGGCGTCCGAGACATCCCTTCACCTAGGTCCTCACTTTCGTCCGCGACAAACCTACCGGTCCTCACTGTCATAGGCGCAATCACACCCCCGTCTCTCTTTCGTTTTGAGGGTGGCATGATCATAGTTTGCCTAGAGCACCAGTTTAGCTTGCGCCGGCCCTGCTTATAATTCTCTCTTCATATAGTCATATGTCTATTACATATCCATAATACACTGTGATAAAGCCTGGCTCAGATCGTATTGCTTTCTCACTACAATCGTTCCGCTCCTGAGTTCATTTCAACCGACCTCATTTAGGCGATCTCGGACCGATTGATTTGGCGTGGATCCAAGCACGATTACTGGGTTCACATATACCAAACGAACGGCGATAACAAGACAAGACAGGTTCCAAAACAAAAGTCTAGGTGTGAAAGCACCCTAAATCTGAAAGGTAAAGAATATTTGCCCAAATAGGCTTATTATTTTGTCTTAGTTTAGTCTTATTTTGTACATTAGTAATTAACTAACTTAAGACATTTCACTTGACAGGAACCCTCCGCCAATGCGCACAGAGAATCGCCTCATCGTGGAGAATTTATCATCAAGAGTGAGCTGGCAGGTGAGCATTCATTTATTCATTTCCTCTCAAGTTATGGCGAGCCAGATGTATTCCCAAACACTGCATATATTAACAAAGACAATAAGGATTCCTTCATATGTATAAGTGCATCATGTAGAGTTACAATTTCTAGCTTCTTTTAATGTTAATCAATGGCATTCTGAGATTACTCTCAAAAATTGAAGGTCATATGTTAACTACTTCCATAAGTGCTAGAGATCAGGAAACACTAAGGTTAAAGTCAATTTGCCTTTGTTTTAACCAATTGTTCACCCCTCTATTTACCAGCCTGACTGTTGTGTCGTATGGAAGAGCTCGCTAATGGTGGAGTTAAGCCCTACAGGGTCCCTCTCTCTGCTTAATCCACTCCCATTGAGTCCCACGACTAGTAGACTTCCGCCGATCGCATGAGAGGTCTCTGAGAGTGATGCCGTCTCGCTCTAGACGCAGCGGCCGCCGCTACAAAGCGCAGTTTGTGACGGTGCCGAGCTGAAAGAGAGAGACAGAGAGCGAATTCGAGAGAGAGAGGGGCAGAGAGAGCGAAAGAATGAGAGAAACAGAGCGAATCTCTGGCAAACACAGTCAATCGAGGGGTTCGGTAATTTGAGAGCCTTCGATCGGTGTATACTGCACTTTGGTGGTCCCACACACACGTGGCCGTGGATAAAATCTCCAGGTTATCACCCCAGCCCGATGGGTACGTTCCCAGGTATTAGTCTATAATCTCTTCCTCGCTGTTGACGCTCGGTGCCCTTGAGGGGACGGCACAAATAGGGTACGATTGATGGAAGGAAAGCCTGTGCTCTGCCACACTGTAATCACTTGTGTTTTGGTAAGAATGCATTTGCCATGTAAATGTACCTTTTACTAAATCTGGGGCCTTTTTATTACGAGCTTTTTAGTTCCTCTTTTAGTTTGGTGGTCCGAGAATGTCAAAGCGTTCCAAAAATCTCTCTGGTCAACATTGTTCCTTTGATTGATTTTGGCCCCATGAGACACAGAGGTCTTTGTGTTTGCACATTTCAGAAGCCTGGGTTACTTGCCAGGTTTGAATAGAGATCAGTTAGACCATGGAACGGGCTGATTTGTGCCTTCACAGCGCTCTGTCACATTGTGAATCAAAGGTGACTGCTTAGCTTCACTTTGAACAGTCCTTTCTGTCTAGGACCCTATGAGTTCTTTGATGGGAAAAACCAAGAATCCAGTCTTATAATGGGAGTTACTATAAAACTCACAGTTCAATTTGGATGAATACATGAAAATAATTGCTGTGCAGCTAATTAACTTGTAGAGCAACTTGTACTGCTGTCTGAATAGTAAATGGCAAAAAAAAATATTTTACTATTTTATTTGAGAAAAACTGTTGTCATAAATTTAGGAAACAAACCCCATGAAGAGATCTTGGATGACCCACTGTAACTGCACAGTTTAATACAGTTTTTAAAGTAATAATGTAAAATTAAATTAATGACATCTTTTTTTTTTTTTTTTAAACCAAAGTTTTCAGAAAAGCTTGTTAAAAAAAAAAAAAAAAAAAAAGGTTTAAAAGAATGTTCTAAAATTCAATTCTTAAAGGGCCGCAGCTCTGCCTTGTTTATCTCCAACCACCTCCAACTCACACCTGCTTAATAGTCTCTAGTTGATTAGTTGGATCCTTTGTGTTTGATTAGGGTTGAAGCAAAACTGGGCAGAGCTGCGGCCTTCCAGGAATCAAGTTTGAGATGTATGGGTTAAAAGAAATCACTATATTAATGTAGAATACTGCACTGAAATCGTATAGAATGTCCTCAAAGTACTTTTTAAAAACAAATTTTCATCCATGCTTTAATTTGAAAAGGTTTAAAACTGAATTTAAGGAAAAATAAATGTATCATAGTTTCTGATTACATGATTTCAGTTCTTTTGATATGTTTTTAGTTTATGATAAATACATTTAAACATTAAAATAGTCAAGAAAAAGATTAAAAACAACAACAGAAATATTCAAACTGACACAATTAGCCATGGCCCGGTATGAGATTGTGACGGTATGATAACCTTGGATAAAAATATCACGGTTTCAAGGTAACAAGGTTGTGATTACTGCTCTAAAATATTCTCTTTTTAGATGTCTGTGTAAAAACTTTTTTCCCACATTGAACCCAGTATATTTATTTAAAAAAACAGTTACAATATTTTGGAACAGTAGTTTTTGATGTGGAGGGTCCTTTTCTACTGGAGATACTGTTGCCTTTAAAAAAAAACCTAATAAAATAGTCACAAAATAAATAAATAAACATATATATATATATATATATATATATATATATATATATATATAAAAACTGTACATAAACAATAGGAACGGTATAACAGAAAATTCTTTCGGTTTTAAAACCTTGACTTTTCCAATGTCCCATGCTTATACACAATGTAATTTGAGAGACAATTAAACACATTTTATTAGGCGCAACTAAATATTCCACTATTTGGGCTGTGCATTATTATTATTTTTTTCAGTTTGATTTGAATGTTTTATGTGTAGCGTACTGTACTTGGTCCAGGGTTGAGCTTGAGCTGAGATGTTCTCGGACCCCAACTTTCATTGTTCATCAACTTTGATACTTCATAGTAAGTGTAAAAATGATCATCTAACTCCAGAATGCTGATGTGCTGTGTGTAGGATTTAAAGGATTTCATGAGACAAGCTGGAGAGGTTACTTTTGCAGATGCCCATCGGCCAAATCTGAATGAAGGGTGAGTTGGGTGTTTTCTTTCCTGTTGGTTTCACAGTGGCTTGTTTGCTGAATATACAATAAAGCATACTACTATTGCTGTTTTATTGAAAATATCTATCTTTCTGCAGCGTGGTTGAATTTGCTTCTCATAGTGATCTGAAAAATGCCCTGGAGAAGCTGTCTGGGAAGGAGATCAATGGAAGGAAAATCAAACTTGTTGAGGCGTCCAGGAAAAAGTGAGTTATTAAAGTTCTCAAATTTAAGATTTTTTTGCAATCAGTAAAAACATTTATGTTAAAATCATTAATTCATTGAACAACTTATGCATCAAATGATCATGGAAGTCGATTCAAATCAATGTTTCAAAAAATATTAAGAAGCACAATTGTTTTGTGATATTTAGGGATGGGTACCTGTTCTGCTAGCAGTACTGGTGAATTATTGCTGAATAAACATTACTTACAGTAGCATAATTTAACTGACCAACCTTTTGTAATTTACGATATTTTATATTTATCTGCACAGGAGCATAAAGTATAAAAGCCTTCAGTTCTCGGTTGTGCGCACGCACTCAGCGGTGGCTCGTGCTAAGCGCACACACATAGCTCGCGACATAGACACATAGCGTGCACACACACAGCTCATAAGCTTGCGGGCCGCCTAGCCACTAACGTTAACATTACATCATCCACGTCGTTATGCCAGCAGTCAATCACCTAAATGTGTATAACATTTAATAGTTAAATGAACACACACATTCGGTTACAATGAAAACATTATTTTCTGCAGTAGCCTAAATAAATTTGAACATTTAAAAATGCTATTACATCAGCTGTATTTACACATATATCATATGAATAGCCTTATAATAAACTATGCATAAGAAATTATAAAAAACAGATTATTTTTACATTGCAAGATGCTCCAAAACTGTTTAAACACAATTAACTATCAAACACTTTTAAAGGGCCATGAAACCCCCTCGTTTCAGCAGGGTGTTTTCACACCTCTACTTTGGAAAAAGCCAGAAAAGTGGGCGTGTCCAGCTCTGTTTAGGGGGGAGTGTCGGAGGAAGAAAAGAGGCACGGTGTGGGAGTGTCTATTTGGGCACGCGACTGTGTTTACATGGGCATCTGTAGTCAAATTATTTGCCAAATTATTAAATGGTGGACTTTAACTGTCTTTCATTCAGAGAATTCATTCATGTCCCTTGCGACAAACGAGATATTTAATTCGAGGAGCTGCTGTAAGCGTGTATTTTTCATGCAATGTTTGATACCGCACGGTGAATGAGAGAAAAAAACTCTGCATTTCCCGGAAACTTAGATGCACACGGCAGGTAGCTTCAGAAAGCCGCGTGGGTTATTCCGGTCACAAAATGCGGTAAAAATCCTACACGAGGTTAAAGTTTGGTTGTAGTGCTAACATGTTTACACTCTGTGCAATAGTTAGTTCGATACGAACAAACTGAATAAACAAAGAGCACTGGTCGCTCACTTACCAAATCTGTAGAGACAGGACAATCACCAGCAACTAGAGCCGCGTCTTTATTAAGAGGAGACTAAAGCGAATCCGGATCTCAGCGTTTGCAGATGAGAACAGCTCTCAGGTAAACAATAATCCTCCTTAGACACGTAAGTTGTTGTTGCCGAGCGTCGCGTACACTGTTAATCCACACGTGAGTCTGAGCTCTCACAGAGAGAAAATGAAAACAAAACTTAACTGCAGCAAACTATAAAAGCAACACTTCACGCTTGTTCTGTCAACACAACATGACGTCTCTGTCGTCTAAACACTATGACAGTAATAAATTTTAATGAAGTTGCACAATAGAGCGCGCTGATTGGTTTGAACCAAGCTTTACTCATGCATTAATGCAACACACTGTAAAACGTAATAAGACACAGACGTCCAGTCTGCACGCTGGAGCACAACGCTATTATGTCATGACCGTGACGCAGCTTCAAAAATTTGTTTCAAACCGGAAGTACGAATTTGCTTGAAATAACGCAAAAACAACCAATTTACACGTTTTAGTGAAATATAGGTGTCCTAATAGTGTTTTTAGCAGTGTGGGACACATATACGACTGTCAACAGCTCAAAATGTGTTTTGGTGTTTTGTGACCCTTTATGTGTCATGAATATGATCTAATTTATCTGCATTTTGCAACTCAAAGAGTCTATTGTCAACTGCAGGGAGCACAATAAAAGGCAAAGAAAAACCAGTAAAAGCAAACATTTTTCTCCAGAAGAATGGTTAAAAACTGAGAGTCATTTTCCTTCAAACTATTTTACATTCTTTTAAAGGAAAAAATATTTATTTGTTTTACAATTCATTTGTTTTATTGTACATTAAAACATAATAATAAATAAAATAATGTTGTTCTGTTCAATTTGTTTTTGTTTTTTCATAAAAAAACACTACAGAAAGTACCGATATGAGAACCGTTAAAGTATCGAACTGATAAGTGGTATCGATAAAAGTAGTAATAACGTTAAAACCTTAACAATACCCATCCCTAGTTGTAAAACATGCTAATTATTTATCTTTCTGTTAATGCAAACAGATGCCACAATGGTGCATACGTGCAAAACTACAAAAATGTCTGTGTGCAGAGCCCAGAATAAGCTTAGAATATCATTAAGTTTGATGAACTGACCATGTTTAAGGCATTTTGATTCAAAAGTTAGGCTGATACAACTTTAAAATGTGTGTAAATATGTTCAGATGTTTTTTAGAGGATTAAGTTATTGTTCATGGATTTACCATAAAACACTTGGTATTTAATAATTTTCTTCATCAAATTCATACTTTTATTTTATGATTATCACTCAGGCGCATGTGGTCCACTAGATTGGACATTGCTGTAACTGTCTTTTTTTTTTGTTTGATTTTTTTTTTTTCTTGCCCTAAACAAAAACAGAAACATTTAAGAATTTTGGGCAGAGAAAATTTCATTAATAAATGCATCAGAGGATAGTAGTTCTAAAAACAATGTTCATAATATTTGGGTTCTTTTATTGTATTTTTATCAAATAAATGCAGCTGTGGAGCATTTAAATGTAGCATGAACATAAATCATGAGATGTCAATTGAATTCAGAAATGTTTAAAACTGAATTGAAATTATAGATTGGTTTTTCCCTTTCTTGTAAAGAAAAGAACCTTTATTGTCATTGTAGTTCTACAACGAAATTTGTTTGGTAACTCACAGAGACCAGCAGCAATAGAAAAAGAGAAAAAAAAAACAAACAATAGACATAATACTAAAATATGCTCTCTATCGTGCTTCTATAGAAATTTAGTAAGAGCTGGGTTGGTACTTTTGTTTTCTTGAGTTTTCTTAAGAAGAAAAGTCTCTGAGCTTTCTTCACTAAGTGAGTGGTGTTACTAAGTGAGTGGTGGTCCATGTGAGATCTTTTGTCAGATGTAGGCCTAGGAATTTGATGTTATTTACCCTCTCAACTTCCTCGCCATTTATGTGGAGGGGGGTTGGTGGTGTCCTCTTTGCTCTTTTGTAGTCTACAACGATCTCTTTTGTTTGTCTCTCTTGTAGATCCAGATCTCGCTCTCGCTCGAACAGCTCATCCCGTTCTCGTTCCCGAGGCCGCTCTGCTTCCCGCTCCCGAAGCCGTTCTCGTTCTCACAGCCCTAAATCCCACAACCGCTCCAGAAGTCGCTCCCGTTCAGCCAGCGCTTCTCCTGTGCGGCCCAAAGAAGCTCCTCGTCCTGAATCAGCATCTCCTCCAGCCTCAGCACAGCATCCACCTCGTTCTCGCTCACGATCCCGCTCCCGCTCTCGTTCCCGTTCTCGCTCCCGATCCCGCTCCCGCTCCCCATCCACTGACAGCCGCCATTGAGTCTGAGGCTGAGGACGTCCCATCACAGCAATATGTCCTGTCTTCTGGTCAGTTTAGGTCCTAGAAAAGGGGGGACTGATTCTCTCCATGCCAGGAGTTTTACAACAAAGGCTCTGATGGTAAATGAAGGGTATTTGACAGGAGAGTTGCTTTAAATCAGGACTATACAGCTGTATTTGTTTTGTTTTTGTTTCTTTTTTTAATGGGTTTTCTCACCCACAAATGAAAATTTACGCTCGTTTTACTCTGCCTCAAAGGAATTTTCCAATTTTTTGGGAAATATGCTAATTTTACAAGTCACCTAAAGTTTAAGCAGTTGAGTTTTGCCATTTTTTTTAATCCATTCAGCCGATTTCCAAGTCTGGCTGGAACACCTTTTAGCTTAGCATAAATCATTGAATCAGATTAGACCGTTAGCGTCTTGCTTCAAAAATTCAAAAGAGCTTTTATAATTGTCCTTTTTAAATCATGACAGCTGCTATTTTCTAGTCCAATATGACTAGAAACTTTACTCTCGTTCCAGAGCCAAGCTTTAAATAGGAAAATTATCAAAGGTGTTTTTAAATTTGAGCAAGATGCTAATGGTCTAATCCAATTCAATGATTTATGCTAAGCTAAGCTAAAAGTGCTCCCACCAGACTTGGAAATCGGCTGAATGGAGTTTAAACTCAACTGTTTGACTCTAGGAGTGTTATAGAATGAGCCTACTTTCCTTACAGTGGTTCCAATAGATTTGAGTTTTGTTTTTCCGTTGAACAAATGAAATATTTTGAAGAATGGTGGAAAGCTGTTGGCATCTGTAGTACATACTATTAAAGTCAATGGCCAATAGTTTCAAATTATTCTTTACAAATGTGTGTGTGTTCAGCAGAAAATAAACTCAAACAGGGTTGAAACTTGAGGGTGAGTAATTTATGGCTTGACTTTGATTTTTGGGAGAATTTTACTTTTAGGTTCATGTCTGAAGTGCGTAGAATTGTGATTTTTGAGGTTTGTTTAAGGTTGAGATTCTGTAATTGTATAAATACATTTATGGACAAGTCAGTAAGATGGTTTTCAGTTACTTTGACCATGATTATTGCAAAGTATTATGAGAAGAAAGGCATTTACCAACTCCCAAAGTTTTATGGTTACAAATTCCAAGATCAAGCAAAGCAAGTAGTCTTGTCATTTCAGATCTAAATAATAAAATCAATGTCTTGAGTTCCTGATACTTTGCAGGTCATTCTGATACACTAATCTTTAAATAACTGTTTATTTTTGTTACGTGATTGATTGATTGGTTGATTACATGTGCAGATTGTATGTAACGTGGATGCTTAAATTATAATTGAAGTTAAAGATTTGAGTTTCCTCCACAGTGCATGAATAAAGAAATCTTGTTCTCCATTAGTGAACCCCCTATCATACTAGCCTGTTCATATGTGCTTAATAACTCATTGTGTGTACACATTTTAGTGTGGTATTATTCATTCTTTTTTTTTATGGGATTGTTTTGGGGGGGTAGTTCTTCTATTTACACAACCGAATGAGATTTTGATATGGCTTTGATATGTATTACTTCAGGTTCTGTCTGGATATGTTTTGATGCATGTTCTTCATTTATTTGAATATGAATCACCTTTCTGTACCATGATGGAAATATTATATAAGAAAATGCTTTTGAACATTTATAAGGTTTGTGTAGCACTGTAAAAATAATAAAAACAAAAGTTCCTCGAAAGCCATGTAATGGAGTTAATTGTTTATTTGAAAACTCATTTCATATTACATTATGTAAAAAAAAAAAAAAAGTGTTAACGCTACAGTACACATTTTTTAACAAGAAGGAATTCAACTTTGTTTTAATAACTGTTTTGAAAATTTAGGCAAATGGCTATAGATGCATTAGTTGTTTTATGGCTTAAGTACAGTATATTGAAGGTATTATGAAATGCCTATAGTGACATTCAAATGAAGTTTCTTTTGTGTAGTTGTACAATTACAATTGGACAGTAATAAGTTGAAAGTAGTTCAACCAAAAACATTTCTGACTAAACATTCATTGATAATTAAACACTCCAAACATTTCAGGATTATTCAATTCCAAGTCTTGAAAATGATGTTTGTGAGGAGGATTGTCCGGAGGAGAAATGGTCGTTCCCAACTGAGCCTGATTTCTCAAGTTTTTTTCCTTCACTTTTGGCAATTGGTGAAGTTTCTTCTTTGCCGCTGGCTTGGTTGGTTAGGAACTTGTGGATTGTGCATTGATAGATTTGCTCTTCAGTGTTTGGACTTTCAGCAGTGAAATTTCAACCACTGAACTGAACTAAACTCTGAAAACTGAACTGACACGCTTTCAATTCATTAGAATTTCTGCCTTGACTCAATCTTCATTGTAAAAGCGAGTCAGTCTTCTAGCCAAAGATTTTTTGGATGTATGCATTTTCTCCATTTAATAAATTGAATGGAGATTAATTAAAGGTCCAAAATTCATATTTGGAGATGTTTAAAATCCACACAACCCTAGCTGACTAATAAGGGCTCTTTATAGCAAAGCAAGGAGTCATTTTATACTTTATAATTCTAAACGTGAGTATTTAAAATAAAAATAATCTGTCAATAGGTAGGTAGGTTGTCTTAGGTCTTACACAACAGGTCAGAAATGTCACTGCATGGATTTATGGGCTTTCCGTTCCCTTTTTAAAGACCCTGCAGATTCCTGTAGTGCTAATCAGTGTTGTCCTGTTTATCCTACAGTAATGATCACATCGCATTCTCAAATCAGGGCCACATGTAGAAAATGTTACCATAAAGACTCACTTAAAAAGATAAAGATGAAGTTGTATAAGCCAGGTTATCAATTTATGTGGAGATAAATGATTTCTCATGACATAAAAAAAAGTTATGCCAATTTTGTGCATTTCCAAAATGTTTTCTACCATCAGGTGGCTAAACCATGCTGGCAATAAAGTAGCTTTTGCCTCACTTTAAATAGGCTGTTGCTGCCCGTCCTCCTTTTTCAGAAGAAATTGGAGCCTTTTCAGTCTGTACCTTGGTAGCTTTGCGGACAAATATATGGCTTTGATTTCTTAATTAAATGAATATATGTGGCATTTTAGTACTTAATCATAAATGTTTATTATACTGTTAAACGTTTAAAAAACCTTGACGGTTTAATTTCCTGCAACTGTCAAATACAAATAAGATTACTGAAAGCACACCAAAACACACAGGCTCACATAATGTTGCTTGTGTACAGTATATGAAGGCACAAAATTGCAGAAATCACATGTATATCAGTACATTAGTTATGTGAATCGGCTTCTCTTGGATGTGCAGACAACACATTACTACCTCAGCTTTTGTCTGCAATTACCTGAATTCTGTATATTATTAAGTACATTTCAAGAAGAAAACATGTGACATCTTTTATTGCTAAACTCCCTTTTTTGTGTTTTGAAAAAAAAAAAAAAGATCTTTTTCACATTTCAAAGGTATCAAAAGGGGATAGTACACCCCAAAAAAATTAACATTTCCTGACCATTCATTCTCCTTCGGCTTAGTCCCTTTATTAATCAGGGGTCACCACAGCAGAACTTATCCAGCATATGATTTACACAGCAGATGGCCTTCCAGCTGCAACCCAGTACTGGGAAACACCCACACACCCTCTTTCACACACATACACTATGGGCAATTTAGTTTATTCAGTTCACCACCTCGGCTGGGTCAGTTGGCATTTCTGTGTGGAGTTTGCATGTTCTGCCCGTGTTCGCGTGGGTTTCCTCCGGGTGTTCTGGTTTCCCCCACAGTCCAAAGACATGTGCTATAGGTGAATTGAATAAACTAAATTGTCCATAGTGTATGTGTGTGAATGAGAGTGTATGGATGTTTCCTATCCATGGGAAAGGGCATCCGCTGCGTAAAACATATGCTGGATAAGTTGGTGGTTCATTCCACTGTGGCGACTCCTGATTAATTATTGGACAAATCCAATAGAAAATGAATGAATGAATAAACAGCTTTTTAAAATGAGTTTCATGTAAGATTGGAGGACAGTACTGATGATAAAATTAGCTACATTTATTGCTATTAGAACAATTTCGAATAAAAAACAACAACAAAAACAACATCAGCATCAGTATTGACCGTTCAGCTCCATACTAGTTAATGTTTCCCTCACTCTCTCTGCTCTTTACTAAAGATTGCAATAATCAATTCACCTTGCGCTCATGCCTGTCTGTGGTGTTTTTTTCACTGTGACCTTCAGATGTCATTGCTGGGGCTCATTCGTCACTTCAGCTGCTCTTTCTACTGTTCTGTAGGCTTGTGTTCCTGCAAAAGAAAAGAGAAAACTATAAATAAATAAGTATAAATATATAAGACTTCAAATTATATATGTTGCTTCCAAAGTGGGGGTCGTGAGACAATGAGCGTGGGTCACTTAGTGATATCTTATAGTCTTATATAATTAAACTATTAGAATTGCCTTATTTAATCCTTAACCTACAGAAGACAAAATAGTATTTAATGGTTACATTAAAACAACAACATGTAAATTAAAAGCCATCAGCCTTTCAAGAAGATTTTGATCATTGTTTTGACTACTGTAGTTCATATTGGTGTGTGTGTGTGTGTGCGCATGTTGTGTTCAATGTTTGTATGTTTATAAACACCTTCGAGGAAAGTGGGGGTCGCCAGACACTAATTTTTATTTTGGGGGTCGCGGGCCTAAAAGTGTGGGAACCCCTGTATTATATCATCATCACCATATTATTGTCACGATTACCAGTGATCGTCTCTCATAAGGATTTCACTAACAATAACCATGGACATTCACTTTGCAGAGTCTTGTTATCTGTCACAGTGACATTACAACGCGGTTTCCTCTGTCAGCCTTTGCTGTGTTTTTGATCCTTTGCCTTTCTTACTTGTTTAATTCTGTTTGCTGCCTGCCTCTGCCCATCTGCCTGTTATTTGACTATGATTCTGGATTGTCTGCATATATCTGTTAGCACCTGAATTGACCCTTGCTTGCCTGACTAAGAATAAACCTGCACGTGGATCCAAACTTCTGTTGTTGGTGTCACTCCCTGTGGTTACAATTATCAATTACAATCCCGTTTAGGTGGTTAGGTAAGTGGATTGTACCATTTTTAATCATCTACGACTTTTTCCGCTTGTTAAGAGTGACGTCATACGAAGTGACTTCCGGGTCCAAGCGCTCTATCAAACTATGGCGAAACAAATGAAATGGTAATAATACACGTTTACAAAGCGATTGTAAAACTTTCGAAAATCACGATCACAATATATATATATATATATTCATACCTAATATCCGATGGCCAAAAAGTGACTATCCTTTTTTAAAATAGTTTAAATTTTGGTGTTTGTGATGCAGCAAGAGCAGATGCTGATGTGTACACTATGATTTTATAGAAAATTCACGTTAAAGTGTGATATGACTAAAAAGGGGCCATAAATTAATATTTTCTCAATTCAAATAAGTAGCGGCTTGGACCCTAAACTTTATTCCATACGTCACCAAAACGTCATGACTTAACAAGCGGATTAACTTTCCTATACCAGAAATGTATTTCTAGTTCAAGGTTACTGCATTCGGTCTATATTCAGTTTATAACCTTTTTGAGATGGCCTCAGTTTCTGATGGCATCTGAACAGGAATATAAAGATCAGCGCCTCGACAATCTGGAACACAATGTAGATGACTGGAAAGAAGTACAGCCGACCAATGATCTCAGCGGGAAAGGCCACCTTCAGGATTGTGGTACAAAGCTGGATGTTTTGACAACCGACCTCCATAGACACAGTCCGTCTGCAACTGAGGATGCAAGAGCACAAATGCTTTAAAAAAAGAGTCTTGTGGATTATAGTTAGACCCATTACAGGTTGTGTCAGAATTCCATGCGGTGGACATACATACGGTTCATTCATCCTAAACAGTGCGGACAGGATATATCCAAATATGTATCCAGTCAACGGCATCAATGCAGCAGTGGCTACAAGTTGAGATGACAGTACTTTGAAAATCTGTCCTCCATCAGCCACACCAGCAAGTACGCCAATCACAATGCAAGAGATCAGCATGAGCGTCAATCCAGCCTATATAAAACAGAAAAAATAGCAGAGAATATGCTTGCATTTACTTACAATTGCAATACTTTATCAAGTATTTCAGCAGCCAGAGGTTCTGTTGTGTGCAATACCTCAATTTGCATGTTCAAGCAGTATACCAAAATCCTTAGAGATCCCATTGTAATTGACCTATTGCCTGCAGTTTGATTGACAGGCAGCAAATCAGGAAGCAGATATTCTGTAACCCCAACCCCCTCCCCATCAATAACCGCCATTTTGTCCAACATGTGTCATAGTACATTAAAAATGTAAATTAAAAAGTAAATAATGTGGGCGCAGAAATGTAAAACATGAATGAATTGTTAATTTTTGCAGTATTGCATCATCCTGTTTCATCTAGCTCCTGTTTAAAACAATTTTAGCATGCTCAAAGACTAGTGTGACCATGGTTTAAGGATGCAGGATGTGCCTTGTTGCCTTAAAAACTCCGCTTTCAACTTTTATGAACAAAATATTGAATCATTCACACAATTGATTTGTTCAAAAATGCTGATTCATTGTAAATGTATAGAGGAAAGTTAATCAAATCCATTCACCTCATAGGAAAACAGGAACGATACTAGCATCCACACCCATGTACAATATTTATTCAATGCAATGTTGAATTGTATTCTAAGCATATACTTCTGCTCAATGGTCTTTAAACCTTAACTCTTTTAAGCAGGGTGAATACCTGACTAGCTATTACAACAATTCCAGCAATATTGTTTCTCTATGTCAATATATTTGTTGTGTGAACTTGTATGATTCATTCATTTATTTTATTTTCAGCTTAGTCCCTTTATAAATCTGGGGTCGCCACAGCGGAATGAACCGCCACAAATGTGATTATTATATTGGAATTATGTCTAGATGTAACTTCAAGCATAGCACACATTTATGGTCCGTTCTGCAGACTTTTACCTGGGAAATCTAATCATTTTAAATTAGGATCCAAACAATACATGGCAATAATACATTCATTTATTATGTCATGCATAAATTATGACCCACCTGGGTGATGATCTTAGAATACTGGGGCACTCGGTAGTTGAGTAGGATTCCAATTCCACAGGGCACCAGGATCAAAATAAGAGAGAAAATGATTCCAGTGAAGGGAACAAAATCCACCAGGTTTGAGAAACCCCAGCTGTACAGGTAGAGCAAGAGGGGCATCATGGCCAACGCCAGGACTGTGGAACAAGCGGTCATCACAATACTGGGAGAAAGAGAGAGAGAAAATACTCAAATAAGAGAGTATGTGCTTTCACTCTGATGACTTGCTCAAAACAACATATAAATCCACTATTAAAAATAAAGTTTTTTTACAGCATTGCCATAGAAGAACCATTTTGGTTTTCTAGAAAACAACAATAAAAAAACAACAACAACAATGAATGAACATTAGAAAGCCGACTTGCTTATTCTGAAGAAAGTTTAAAACGTGTGAACTGAAGAACCACTGTAAAACCTCTTGGAATGTTTCACGAGTGTTCATGAAACCATCAATGCCAGCAAAGAACCTTTATTGTGTAGTATTTAGTGTGATATAATATATGTAGTTTTAACAAATCAGATACAAATTTCAAGAAACCACTGTAGATTTACATCAAACGTATGCAAGCTTATGAGCTTAAAAGCATGTGTGTTCTAAAGAATCTATAGATAAGATCTTATAAGATCTGTTAATGCGCAAAAAGTTATTTATATCGTTTACAGAAAATTATAAATATCCTCGCATTTGCACTTATTGATGCACTGCGCTTAAGAGGACAGCACTAGACAAACACGAAGAAATTATTTTTAACCGAACACAAAAAAATAAAAACTAGAATAAAATTAATGTGACTAATACATTATCCAGAAGTGTAATGTCAAAATTATAATCACACATAGACGTATATCTATTATACAATAGTTCTGTCTGGTTCTTGATCTGATTGGCTGATATATTCTGCAACAGCACTCATTCAGCCTCTTCACCCTTGTGTATTACTCCGCCCACATACAGCGACAGAGGATAAACTACAGGTTGATAATATTGCTGCTGTTGGACAAAATAATATACTTTTGAGTGATTTTAGTTGAGAATGTTGTTGTTTCGATTGCAACTATGTAGTTTATTTATAAGGATAGTGCCTATTTTTAAATATTTATTTTGGGGGATTTTGTGACTAAAGAAAGTGACGAACGTTCCGCCACAAGATGGCGACAGAAACCGCATAATAAGTACTTGGAGATAGAAAAACTCAGCGTTTTCTCAAAGTAAATTTGAAATTACAGCTGAAAAAAATCGCTATAAATAAGGTAAGTGACATTTAAGTTGATCTTTCTCTTATGTATTTTGTAGTGCTGTATATATACGTCAGAAACTGGTGGACTCTGCTTTGCTTTGGCTTTTACAGGGTTATTGTGATATCCCTATTGCAACAGAGAAATACTGTGAAATCTCAGTAGATTGATGGCATTTCATGCCATTCAGCATTATAATCTTAAAATGTGAGCAAAAATAACCTGTTTTGATATCACTTTAGACATTACGCTAGAGGATCATTCAAATACTAGCTCTAAAGTGATGTTTGTGAAGTAGCAAGGTTTCTGCTGTTCTGACTGTCAGCTGCAGATGTAAAGAAATGGTGGAGGCAAAGTAGTTCCTTGTACAAAAGGGTTTTTGAGACTGTTTGTGTTTGATTTTCTTTTTTATATACACGATCACAGGTGGGGCACACTAAGGCACTTGGCCTGTGTCCTCGAGCCAACACAATCCTCCCATTAGTGCCAATATACAGCCATATTGCACTGCTACTGTATGTTTTAATGCAATAAATTAAAACTACATGGAACTCATATCATTATAGAAAATAATGAAATTAGAAAACCACAAGAATAAACCTGCAAGATTATCTACCAAAAACATCCTGTTAATTATGCAAGATTTTAATAGATAAAAGTTGTTTTTATGCTTTGTTTTTCAAAAGAATTATTTTTGATAACAAAACATTTCATATATTATACTAAAAAATTAAGGGAGTTTTTTTTACAGTACTGAAGAACCATTTTTGGTTCCCCAAAACACCTTGAGGTGAACAGTTAAAAATAATATAATACTGTACGAAAAATAAGTTTAAAATAATTTCTAATTCTGAAGAACGTTTATTAAAAAAAATCAAAACCCTTTTCTATATGGATATACAGTATAGAAAATTTTTGGATGTTTAAGTTTCTTCATGGAACATCAACGCTAATAAAAGTTGTACTGCAAATTGTTTGATAGTATATGTAACAAATCTAATTCAAGTTCCAAGAACCACAGAGAACTAACTTTAGTTTGCATTCATCTTATGCAAGCACATGGGCTTATAAAACACGTGCTGCTGTTTTTGAATTATTTCTCTAATAGCAAATCAAATAATTTAAAGAAAATCATTCATTGTAAACATGCTTTTTTTTTGCAGATCATAATCTCAATAAGGCAAAGTTCATCTCTCCCTCATTAGTCTGCAACAGGACTGTTTATTGTCTAAGCAATTACCTGAGGTTCATGTCTCCCTGGAGGGCCAAAGCAAAAATGTTTGAGAGGTTTCCTCCTGGACAGCAGCCACAAATTAGCACAGACAAACTCTCCATAGGACTTAACCGAAACAGCTTTGCCAGGCAGAAGGCAGTGAAGGGCATGATGCCATACTGAGCCCCTACTGCAATCACCACTCCTTTGGGTTTCATGAGATGATCCTTGATCTTTGAGATATCCATTGTGCAGCCCAGAGACACCATGGTGATAAAAAGAAGGACAATTAAAGCCAAGCGGATGACCATATCCGCAGTTTCATTAAATGTAGAGTCATTTGCCGTGGTGTTTACACTCCAGTCGAAGCTTGAAAGGTTCAATTCAGTAGTTGGATTAATTGTGACCACCATTTTTTGAGATCTTGGAGATGTTTTTTATGCTGCGAGAGGTAAAAACAGAAGGTTAAGTAAACCAGTACAATACAATAACAGTAGGACAGTTGTTAAAAGCATGCTTGCTTTCTAGAAAGATTCATCTCAAGCCTACCGTTGAGTCAGTACTTGCAGGATCTTCTCAGAAAGCCAGAGTGAGCGAAGTGGGAGGACAAAAAAGTTTGCTATCTGTCCTCTAGGCTGGTGCATTTTTTTTCAAACTCATTGTTACTTAACCCTTTGATGGCTTAGCTGTTTTACCATATTTGCATTTGATATAGTATGGTCATTTCTGAATGCAGATATACAAATCAGATATAGTTGCTTATATATTTAGTTTCACTTTTTTATTATTATGCAAATAAAGAAAACAGACAGAGAAAAAAAAAACATACCAAGAGTAATCAGGTAAAAGTAAACAGTACAAAGAAAAACATACAAAAATACATATACACAAATACATACAATACAAATAAACACTAATTAATACATACACACAATACATCAACTTCTATGGAAAAAAAGAAAGCGCCTTTTATCTTAAAAGTGTAATAAAATTGTATTTATTTCAAAAGAAAAAAAAAATATTTCTCTTTATTTCATTGCAAAAAACAACCTAGTTATCCAAAATCTACTTATTTATTACTTGAAACCAATTTAAAAAAACGTTTCACAAATTTGAAGTGAGTTTGTGAACTGAAACTTGTATAGATTTTGATAAGCATCACACTTACTCGAAGTTTAACAACATTACGCAGACTGATGTCGCAAAATAGAAATGTGTTCTTTCCCATCCAGGTTTCAAAGCTAAAATCTTTGCAAGGTTGTGATTTTCATGTCGTATGCAACTCTCTGTCTGTAACCACATCCTACATAATGCAGCACTATCTCACATGAGAGGCCAATGGAAGATTCTTGTTTCACAAAAAAACAAGTCTCAAACCACAATGTAAAAGAACCAACTTTTTTTTATTTATTTCCAGTTGGTCCTCCTCTTACGTTTAAATGTCTCGTAATGTCATATAAGTTTGGTCTTCATGGGAAATTGTAAAAGATAAAGAATCCAATGGGATCCAGTGGGTAGCAAAATCACCTCACAGCAAGAAGGTTGCTGGTTCGAGCCTCGGCTGGATCAGTTGGCATTTCTGTGTGGAGTTTGCATGTTCTCCCCGTATTGGTGTGTGTTTCCCCCGGGTGCTCCCCCACAAGTTCAAAAACATGTAATATATATATATATATATATATATATATATATATATATATATATATATATATATATATATATATATATATATATATATATATATATATATACTACATTTGTTAATTAATTAATATATTAATTATATTATATTAATTAATATATATATTAATCGCATTTAAAATACTGAAATGTGTAATTTTGGTTATTCAAATGTAAAATTAATGTAAACGCAAGACAAAAACTATTTAAATTCAAAATATAATTGTTTATTAGAATTTTTGTTTAACTTGTAACAGATTTTTTCATGTAAATAACACACCCACAATAAACCATCAAGATCCTGGCTTGACAGCCATATTTATTACAGAAATAAAAACACAGGCATGTTAATACCATTTAAATTTCAAATCAATCAGTGCCAATAAAGAAAACATTGAATTCCATGTTGGATTCTAAGTGGACTGCAAAAAATGCCAAAATAGGCATTGCAGATACGGAAATTGGAAAATCATAATAACAATAAAGTATTGAATACAAACAATTGCACTTAATGTAAAGTTGTATTGCTGTGAGTTGAGAACATTAATTATAAAGTAGAAACAATTTTTCTCAATCCTCTACATTCATCCAGTTCCTAAGACAGTCCAGTCCAGACATCCCAAATCTCCCGGAAGTTGCGGGAGTATTCGCTAATGCACAGAGACTCCCGGATGCCCGCAAATGAATGATAATCTCCCAGAAATCTGCCAAATGATTAAATACAGTTGAAGTCACAATTATTAGACCCCCTTTGAATTTTTTTCTTTTTAAAATATATCCCAAATGTTGTTTAACAGAGCAAGGAAATTTTCAGTGTGTCTGATAATATTTTTTTCTTCTGGAGAAAGTCTTTTTTTTATTTTATTTCTGCTAGAATAAAAGCAGTTATAAATTTCTTTTAAAGCCATTTTAAGGTCAAAATTATTAGCCCCTTTAAGCTATAATTTTTTCCGATAGTCTACAGAACACACCATCGTTATACAATAACTTGCCTAATTACCCTAACCTGCCTAGATAACCTAATTAACCTAGTTAAGCCTTTAAATGTCACTTTAAGCTGTATAGAAGTGTCTTGAAGAATATCTAGTCTAATATTATTTACTGTCATTATGGCAAAGATAAAATAAATCAGTTATTAGAAATGAGTTATTAAAACTATTATGTTTAAAAATTAAACAGGGTGCTAATAATTCAGGGTGCTAATAATTCACGGTGCTAATAATTCAGGGGTGCTAATAATTCTGACTTCAACTGTAAATGTGCTGTATTCTGACCAACCTGCTCCCTTGGTCGCAAACCTAGTTGTGATTTTGCTGCATTTTTCTGCTTCTACGGCCAGGGCTCTTCTTCTTTTCATGCACTTCCTCTTTGCTCCTCCTTTCTGTTTACGTTCCGTGTTTTTGCCTGACTGAAGTTGTAGCTAGTATGCAAATAGCTAATCTGGCAGTGCATCGCTGAAATGATTGGACCTTATGGTAATCGCGATCGCCTGATTCGTGGTTTGAGGTGTCCATCAAGCTGCAAGCAGCCTATGGCATGTCGAGGTGAGGTAATTGACGGCACGGCGGCAGGCCAGATTGACCGTCAAGCCACCGGGAAATGTCAGTGCTCCCGATGGCCAGTCCGCCCCTTGCCCCCACCGCTCTTCAGGTACGTCGCGCGCAACTCACCTCCACCGATCTTCATGTACATCTCGCGCGCACACTCCCCTACTCAGATACGTTGCTCACTCCACCCCTGACACACAGACATACACAACGTGCCTGAGCGGTGCTTCCTTGGCCTTATCCATGTTTCTTTGCATGTTGAACACGTCCGCCACAACAGGAAGTAAAGAAAAAAAAAAACCTGCAACTGCGTTAATTTTTTTTTACGCGTTAATTATTTCAAATTAATCGCATGCGTTAACGCACTAATTTTGACAGCACTAATATATATATCGTTTTCCAATAAACCTAGATAACATAGGTTTTTGCATAATATCCGGAAGCATAACATTATGCGCTAATACTTCAAAGGAGTTAAACATAAGTCCGTTTCTCTGATAAACATTAAGAATATTACTAAAGATTGATGCAACTCCACCACCACGACCAGTTTGACGAGCCTCATGTTTATATAAGAAAACTGGAGGAGTTGCTTCATTTAAACTAATATAAGCCCCTTTCACACATACAGACCTTTCCGGAATATTGCCGGCAATTTTCCGGAAAGGTTGTATGTGTGAAGAGGTCCTTTTTGAAAATACCAGTAAATTCGTTCCGGCTATTTTCCGGAAAGAGATGTTGTAACATTACCGGCAATTTGGCGGAATGCTGCGCTGTGTGAATGCAGAAGGAAGATTGCCGTAATAAGCGCGTGCACGTCTAGAACGTGCTGACGTGAGACGTCTGCTTTAGCCAATCACAACAGTCAGACGCATTTACGTCCGCGTGGTTTGTGAGAATAAAAGCCTTTAAATATTTTTCCAGACACATTTAGCTGCTAGAAGTTAGTCAGATCACGTTTATATGTTCTTCTTAATGCCAACTGTGTAAATAATCATCGATGACATGCTTATGATAAGCCGCTGTTTACCTTCAAGCTTGGTGTGTGCCTGTGAAACAGCCTGTAAGCACCACCACACACACATATTATGAACATCTTGACATGCGAAAGTGATCTTGCGAAAGTTGTTCACAATATTGATCATCCACAGAGTTTGTAATTTAGTCAAATGTTTACAAACACAAGCGCAGCCGTTTAAAGCTCATTTGTGGTGAATGATGTCAGAATTTACCGGTATTTTCTAATGGATGTGTGAATGCTCTTTTCCGGAAAATTTCCGTAACGTCCTCGCCTGTGTGAACAGCGCTTTTTTGAATATACCGGTAAAGTCGTTCCGGAAATTTTCCAGATATTTACCGGTATCACTGTGTGAAAGGGGCTTTAGTCATTTTGTTTCAGGCAGGTTTCAGTGAGACAGAGTGCATTAAGATTGTTATCTGTTATAATTTCATTTATGATAAGTGCTTTAGGTGCTACTGACCTGATGTTTAGGAGATCAAGCTTTACAAAATTTGTATTTTCACTTTTTACCGTTTTTCTGGTTTGATTTTTAATAGATTAATTCTGGAGCACACAGTACGTTTATTTCTTGGTCTAATAATATGAGGAACAGACATAGTCTCTATGGGGCTAGCCAGATATGCATTACTGGTATTTATGTGGGACGAACAAGAGTCTATATGGCTATAATGTGAATTTTTACTTACTAGTCAGATAGAGCGAAGCGTCCTGGAGATGTTGTCCGACAAGAGTACAGCTCCAGCTCGACTGGGGTGCAGGCCGTCAGCACGGAAAAGCCGAGGACGCTCCCAGAAAAGATTCCAGTTTTTGGCAAAGAGCCATTTCTGTTCTTTACACCATGTTATTAGCCATTCATTTAGAACAAAAAGTCTACTGAACCTTACATTTCCTCGGCAAGAGGTAGGAAGCGGTCCAGAAATGATGATCTGCGTGGCGGGTGAGGTGTGTCAAACCGTCTCGATCAGGCTCCTGAAGTCCTTTTTCAGGATCTCCGTCTGCCGGAGCCCGGTGTCATTTGTCCCCACGTGGAGGATGACAGCAACGAGGCTTTTGGCAGCGCTCAGGATTGTAGGTTTCTGTGTAGAAATATTCTTAACGCGGGCACCAGGGAAGCAGAAAGTGCGTACTTTGTTACCTTTGGAGGAAGCGGCATGGAAGTGGCAAACTATGGAGCCCTCGATGATAGCCACATCGCAACCTGTCTTGTGGAGAGGGGCGAAGCGGTTTTCCTTGGAGATCTCGAATACGGGAGGAGGAGGTGTTCTGCCCAGGGACCTGGTAAGCACCTTAAGCGACTACACCAAGGGGCCGTGGCAGCCAGGTGTTAGCGTGAACGACGCCTGGGCAAACTGTGTCTCCGGTGTGCTAGACAGAGACACTCACGGTGTTGAGGTAGAGGAAGTGTTGTGGTTGTATCGTCCACTTACCTCAGATGAGGCAGCTGCAGCATGGGGCACAACGAGCAGGGCTCGTTGTTCCCAGAGCCGCGCC